GTTTGTGCTCTTAATCGCAGCTTTTAAAGCTGACGTTGACGGTATTTTACACTTTGTGTTACTGAACATGGTGAAATTACATGGTTTTTCTTAGAACAAGGAAACAAAGCCTGTCCAAGATGCATTCAAAGGAAACTTCGTGAGGCATGCAAATCCAGCAGTATCGGTGAGTTGGCCTGTTGTCGACGCACGCTCTCCATGGAAATAAAGAGCGATAAAAGTGAATTAAAAATAATAGTTGTGACGATGGTAGTGATAAAAAGAGAATATTGCTTTTTCCCTGTATTTGGTTACCGAAAAGGTTCCAAGCAGCCAGTTTCGTTTTCACAAACGTTCCACCGAACCCTCTACCGTGGAGCTCTTTAGCCCGTAATAGCAAAACATATGAACTAGCATCCCGATCGCTAGATGTAGTGCTCTCAGTCAGTTTTGTCCTTCTATCTGGGCTACGCTGCGAAACGTAGGTTGGTCAAAACTCACAATAATAAACCTACCTCGTTACCACTCTCCTGATGTGTGTAACTGGGTGTTTGGTATTATAAGATGACTGGAAGGATTGAGTTTGCTTAAATGCGGTGAGAAACGCATGTAAAGTACATTTATTATCCAGAGATCACGGATAGCGATCATAGTTCGAATAGATAATGAGGGTCGACCTTGTGCTAAAATTTTGTGTCTTGTGTTGTTTCCTCTCTTATATGTCTAAACTTTTCTTTAAACGATTGTCTTCACTCTCAGCTTTTGTAGGCGAAGTCGATAGGAAATTGCGACATGATCCAGTCAAGAAACAAGCTCGTTATCTGGTCGTGATAAAGAACGTGCTCAGGAAATCTGAGGGATTTCCTACATTGGGAAGTGTTGTCGTGAATGTTCCTTACAGTGAGTCACCAGACTGCCCATGCCCTTTGCTACCCGACCAAGAAACGTTCCTTCTGATGGGAGATGTCGTGGTTGAACCAAAAGGCAACAGTGCAAAAGTTGACATATCTGTCACTAAGCCGGCGGTTGTGCAAACGTGGAGCCAAGAGTTCATTCAGAAAATGAATAGAAAATGCAAAGATTTAGATTATCGTGAGCTACTGTAATCTTCCACAGTTTTATGGACAAGCCACCCTTTTTTAATATCGATGAAATTATAAACAGTGTAATTGTAGAAGAGAATTAGATATTTTGACAGTGACAGCAGGCTCAAAGAACACGTTCTAAATTAAAAACATCTCAGCTTGGCTTTAAACTCAGAGCGTGCGTTTTATTCAGAGCGCGTTCTCTTTGCAATTGCTTACTTGTGATTATTTTGTAAGAATAATGTAACAGTTTTTTTTTGTTTAACTTCAGCCGAGCAGACCTGAAGGCACTAATCTATCTAGATTCAACCATGACTCTCGCACCTGTTGAAGTCCGCATATGAGTTATTTTTGGAATTCTGTTGAGATCATGAATGTGAACGATTACTGAATGTAGTAGGTGCCAATATTTTTCTCTCAAAATAACTTGCATTGAACTAGCAAAGGTAACAAACTAAAATAAGTGCTTTTAGCTGTTTGGTAAATAAAAGTTGCATTTTCTAAGTGAGTCAGCGTCATTTATTCATGTAGTATTTCTGCTTGAAGAATTTGTCATGTTTGCGTTATCTTTCTTTTTTCATTTGTTTTTCTTTTTGTATGCGTGTGTTTTTTTTTCACGCACGCCTTGCGCTTGCCTCCTTGCACTTGCCTCCTTGCGCCGGGAAAGCACCGAACGAAAATGACGCCGTAGACTTTATTAGAAATGCAAGAGGAAGGTCCTGGGATAGGTTTCCGTTGATGGAGAGAATAATTTCTAATTCAAACAAAGCTGCTACTCAAAGCTTTCTCTTTTGCTGAAATCCTACTATTCGAGATTTGTTTTGTAGTTTCTGTTTTGATCTCCCTTGCCTATATGACCAGCTTCAAGTGGTAATTTTTTACGTGGCATCTTATTAGCTTGGTCTTGTCGATAGAAAACACTGAAAACCACATAAGGAAAATCGTACCAATTAACTACATTACTACCCGCAACATACTAAAGGAAAGATTAATAGTACCTCAGTTCCTTCGCTTGACCTTTGTGTGACTGAAACAATGCGCGTGACGCGCGTGACTCTCATCGCGACTAGGACTTAGTCTTCATGAGTCTTTACAAGCCCAAATAGAAGGCTTGGACACTGTACCTACTATTTTTTGTTTATCATGTGACAGTCATGGCAGAGTGATTCAGCGCAAAAATACAGTCTTTCCACGGAAAACTTTTAGTTCTTAAACATTACATCCAACGTCGGATTATTATTACCTAAGGAACGCTCTTACGACAGAAAGGAAGCTGCAGCTTTCATAACTTTTTTTTGCAAATATCAACGTCATCTCACACAAACAGTGAATTGAACTTTAAGCGAAAGATGTCGTGAAGATATTTGTCCAGTCCTTCCACAGTTTGTTTTCGGTTGGTTTTTGGTCATTTATTCACACAATGAACGCTATCATCGCCCTGTGTCACTTTTGCGAATTTCATGGACCAAGCGTCTTGTTCTGTACTCAGGTAATCCTTGAAACCGACTTTGGAATTTGTCTGCTACATAGCAGTCCACATACGTATAAAGATTCAAAAGATTTATTCAGCTATGCCTGTACATTTTTTTCGGTATAGTATAATGCTGTCGCTAAATGATACCTGCACGTTTATTTTACTGTTTGTAAAGAGTTCTTAACCATTTCACTCCCGGAAGTGACATAACCTGTCTATTTTTCCGAAAACAAAGTCATATCTACATTTTTAAAGTAACTTATACAGAGCTGGAGACTGGAGATTTTTTTTCTGTAGTTGGCTTTGCTTTGCTGATGAACAAGCACAGAAAAGTTTACCAGCGACTTGCTCCTATGTTCAATGTATGCGTGAGTTGAGTTACCAAACTAATTTTGCTCATAACAGGGATCGAAATGTTATGTTCATGTACTTGTAAATGGAAACACCTCAGTTGATCACACAGAAGACACTTCACTGACGATTGTAAACACAGATGAGTATCATAAAGTCAGCTACTTGATAGTCCTGAGAAAAAATTAAACAAAGACACCATCTAAACAAATAACTTATATATTTATTCATTTGCAATATTTATGCAGGCTGGCTTAGTTCAGCTTCAAGCTAGTTTGAATGTGGGCCTGCTTACTGAAATGCAAGTGTTGATAGGAAAATTCTCTCTCTTTTTTTTTCTCTGGTTATAGGCATTTCATTGTGAAGCTCATGACCCCTTAAAGGGAACCAATACCTCTGTTCTAGAATGTGGAGCTTGCAACAAACGGTAATTGCATGAACGACACTTTTTGTGTGCATGTGTGAGTGTGTGTGTTTGGAATTTGTTGTTTTGAAATTTGTTGGTAAATTTTTTTGTACATATGTGCTGCTTAATTATCACAGATTTGTGGTATTTGTATTGACAAACACACAAATGCATTTGGGATCAGACTGAGAACATTTTTTGAAAACCAACCAGTTACAATGGCGCATCATGCTCTCAAGGGTGACATGAAAGATTAGTAGCAGTAAACAGTCAAAATGCTGATTAGATTTGTATATTTTATGGGAAAAACAGTAATGCTCAATTGGTAATGTGCCTTTCCACTGAAACAACCTGTTTTACCATATGGATGCTGTGATAAATATTTGATTAGTTGCATTTTCTTTTCCTCAGGAATTTTACACGGTTTGGGTCAGATACTCCAGGATCAAGTACACAAGGATCACGCGATGTCTGGGCGTCATCCAGATCAAGCCAATGTGAGGTAAAACAACATTGACGTCATGAACAGATAAGCTTGTGGATATTATAATAAAATGATCTTTAGGCCAACATGTGTGTGTTATTGACCAAGAATAATGTCACAATGGCTGAATATAGGCCAAGTTTTTGTTGCAGATTGTTTCAAAAAATGTATGATAAAACAATTGTTGAATTCAGTTTTTATGAATTACGTTTTAGTGAATTATCAAACCTCGTGTCTGTGTAAGCTTTTGGCCTAGCAGATAACTCAGACCTGGGTTATAAATTGATAATTCTTGTCATCATGTTCAACCTCATCCGATAATTGCCTATTGTTGTTCTGATGTTACTGCTGTAGTCTACATGTAATAGAGGTACCCTTTGACAGACTTTTGAACTAACCAACTGACACAGCACTTATCTGACAAAATGCAAACAGGCTCTGATGACTTGATTAACTGCCTTATCAACTTTCTATAAACTGAATATCTCACTGATGGTCTGAAGGGATGACTTACTGGCTGACTCACTCGCTGGCTTGTTGATGGACTGACTGACCAATTGATTGTAAACTTCTGTAACTGACTGCTTTGTCATAAAGTGATTGCAATAGGCCTTTTTACAACCCCAAGATTTCCGTGTCTGATGTATACCTAACTCGTAACCTTTGTCTAACCATTTTTTAGGCTTGCAAGTCTCTGGATCACACCCATGCAGGATACATCAGTATAGATCATGAAGCACATATCAGTTACTACAGCAACAGGTCACCAGAGCAGCCAGAGTTATACAGTGTAGTAAGACAGGCTTGTGTTAGAAGGTAAGAACTGGCTCGGCAATAGCTTTAATGAAAGGTAAAGCACCCTCTTATTATTAGTCTATCCTGTATTCTTTATTGAATGCCACAGTGAAAAAATGGCAAGTCCTTGCTTGAGAGAATGAAACACAGTACTATAATTATGCCCAGGTTTCCATAATATTTCAGCATTATTTGTCATTAGCCTGTTAAACCCTAACATCAGTATGTATGTTCTCCATACTGTTCCCTATTACATTTCCATTGTTACCTACAGGAAGAATTTGTTAAGAAATCAAGAGCTTCTTAAGAATGCAAGCATTTCCTTTATGCTCGTGACCTCAATAGTGATTCAGGGCTGAAACTTGAATGTGAAAGCAATCTTCATAGTAATGAACACTACTTGAGCAGTATATGATTTTCATATATTCACAGTCATTTAGGGCTGAAACTGTTGGGTGAAATTAGATACTTAGCTCTCTAAGGGTGTGAAGGGTCAAGTTGTTATTCATCAAGCTCAGCCATTATATTCCCTGTTGAAAAGTGAATTTTTTTTTAATGTTTCATCTAGTAAAGCTGACACACATGTTTTTGTATTGCTTTATACAATACCTTCACTCACTTTCCTTCCTTCACCAATGTTAAAGTTAGGTAGCACCCTGCTCCTCATGGCTCAGACTCTGAGGCAGCAGTACCTGTACCCCTCTTAGGATGCAAATAAAAAGTGCAAAGGTACAATCATTATTAATAGCACTTGTAAATGTGGAATGTGAAATTCTCAGAGTGGGAGTTGATCCAAAAAGCCCTAAATCTTACCCTCCTCTTTATCCTCTAATCCTCTACGCCTTTCACTTAAACATTAATTTCTTTTTCTAGTTTGAGCTGCGAGGTGTGTCCAGGTCGTGAGGGTCCAATGTTTTTTGGAGAGGAGACATCAGGTTATGTTTTCACTCACACCTTCTTTCTGAAGGATTCTCAGTCAAGAGGATTCCAAAGATGGTATGTCGAACAGCAAGAAACAGTGTACATGTCACGGCTTAGAATAATTATTACAATGCCAAAAGATGTGTGGGGGAAGGGGTAGGGATGGTTCATTATGATGCCATTTTTATATAATTATACACCTACAATGAAACACCACATCCATGGAACATCATTAAGAAAGATTTCTGTAATTAACCCCCGTACCATTAAAATGTAAAGCTGTTCATTCATCATATACTGACAAAACTTTAGACCCTTTTTGAAACATTTCAAAAAATAATAATAATTGCTGTTTTCCTTATTCTTTTCTATAACTCTTTTACTGAAGTTCCCCTAATTCCTGATCACAAAGATCAAAAAGGGTTCCTTTTTAAGAGGTGAATTCCATTTTATGAGGTTTCCTGTTAATGGGAAAGGCCCTCACCAAAGAGGTAGGGACATTATGATTTTTATCCTTAGAGCAGTTGCCTATGAGGGGAGCATTCCTATAATGGTCAAGATCCCTTGCCTCTTTTTCCACTGAAAAATTAATGTCCCATTGTAGGTATTTTACACAGTCGAACAGTTATTTGCAGTTGTGATATTCACCATACTTGTGATAAGTCAATTTCTCTCAGTGGTACTGGCATTGTGGTACCTTTCCTTGCTGTGACAACATTTTAGAAAGAATGCTTGAAGCTCCTTCAGGACATAATGATTATCATTTGGGTAGTAAGGTTACCAAGAGGTTTCAAAATGATCTTTTAATTGTACATATAGGCACACTCCATCCTCACATATTTCTATGTTTCTCCCAAGGTATAGCATAATTGCAGTTATGAAGGATCGCATTTATTTGGTGAATTCATGGCCATTCCTTGTGAGGTACATACAGTGTACAGTATTTGACTTGTATTCATATTGCAAGCAGGATGTCTTCCCATCAAATGCTGGCAGTGGAGAACACCTTAGAACACCCACCCTTGCATTGAAGTGTCTGTTACAAGTATTAGAAACAAAAGTGGAGAGTCATGTAAACTGTATATGCAAAGACATGAATGACATGCTAACAGCAAAAATGAACACAATTTCTCTGCAACAATTATGCTCAACTGAATGAATTTAGTATCATCAACTCAGTTGATAATACTAAATTACCTAATTTTTCTGCAACAGTGTTCACCTAAATTTACACAGTAGCTACTGTATTTTCTCCAATTGTGTGATACAGTAAGAGAAATAGTTTAATAGTATTGAAGATTCTGTCTTGATTTATGGCTGCTGCTCATTACCTCACTTTCATACATGTATCATTAGTACCTTTTCAGAGACCTCACTGTAAATTTTGCTGTTTATGACAATGTTAATGCCACTGTAACAGTCACTGTGACTGTTATTGACTCTGTCACTGTCAATCTCACTCTCATTTTCATAGTCACTGTTATTCTAAAGTGTAAGTTGTGAGTTTCTCCTTGGCACTTCCTCTATGTTGATTCATATAAAATATATCTAATTTTTGATAATAATCATTTGATGTTTCAAGAAAAATGTTTTACAAATTTGTGTTTTTTCTTGCTTCCAGCAATTTCAGGGAACTGATAGATGAACTGCAGGCTAAGGTATGCTCTAGTTATTTTGAATACCTGTTTAAGTGTAAAGATTTTCCTCGCTTGTACTGCTAGAAGCTGAACTCAAACTAAAGCAATCAAGCTTCAACATCATCTGCAAATCCAACGACTGGTTTACTACTGTATGTAATGGAGCCTCAAACCAAGAAACACAATAATGGGATTTTTCATGCATTTAGGTATCCTTTGAAATGTGCATTTTAAAAGTGGATGTGGATATCCATTATATAGTGTAAATCTCTAGCAAACTTTCCTCTTTCCTATATATCAACCACATAGATTTTTAAAATTATTTAACATTGTTCAGTTTTAAGTAATCAGTCTTCTCTTATACTAAATGTAATTTTAGGCAAATGCAGTTTATGAAACAGAACATGCAGAAAGTGTTCAGAAAGGACAACACATTCAGCCTAGTGCAAATGGATTCCTTCATGCTCCTGGTAATACTATCTTTTTATGACAACTGCATGTACAGTTTATCCAGAGATTTAGTTCCAGTCTCTTTGTTTTATTTATTAGACATGTAGTGCAAAGATTTCTTTTGGAATTCTTTTATTTTTCCTCTTTTTTATGATCATAAATAGATATTTTCAGAAGACAGCGAGGTGGAAATAAAACTTACAGAGGGATTGCAGACATATTAGGAGATAAGGTATCAAATGCACAAAGGTTTTTTAAAGAACCAAAAAATTATGTCTTTTGTACTTGACTGTATTTTTCACAAATTTTAGAAAATTCCCCCTTTTCCTTCTTTCTGAAGTGCAGAAAAGTCTTTATCATTCTGTTAATATTCAGAGACAATTTGCCTCTGGAGAGCAAGATTTAAAGTCTTTTCATTAACAGGAACCATCCAGAGGGCATTAGAGGGATACATGTACCTGTTGGTCAAGGCTTGAAAAAAGTAGCCCAGCACCACTACATGTGTTACAGCATAACTTTATAACTTTTTATTAGTGACCTAATTTTTGACAAATCCTGACACCTCAACTTTATTTTCTATCTAAGTTTGAAAATGAGCCATTGGCTTGACACCCTTGATCCAAAAATATAAACTCATGTTTTAAATCTATAAATTTATTTGTTTCTCCACTTACATGTACCTTGTTTCTTGATTCATAAAAAGGACTTGTTTGCTACTCTTCATCAACGGTTTTCATGGATGTTAAAAGCCTGTGGGAACAGAATAACTGAAAAGCTTCTAGAAGGACCACCAAGAGTATGTACCTTTACATTGGCTGTATACAACTACTGTATAAGCAATGAACAGTGGTTAAATAGCATGCAATTATCATCTTAACATCAGTGAGTTTGTTTCACGCAACCTACGTCTTCATGTAGTCTATTCATCATTTCAATTGTCACAGTTACATGTACACGTATATATTGTCCTAGGAGGAACTACTGACAGATCTTGAAGCTCATTTTGAGGATGATGATCTTCAAGGTAAGTCCACATAGTTTAGAAGGTTTACTTTTACAATTTACCTGCACTCAAAAGTTGATTGCTGCACTTGCAGCAGCTACAGTTGTAGCTAATAATTGTTTTTCTTAATGTTTATCAATTAAAAATTGACATACAGCACATTTCATTTTGCATTTGTGAATATGAGTGGTAAAGATGATAGGTAAATGATATGTAAAAAACAATTTTACTCTTGTACACCAAGTTTTTTTTGGTTCATTTTCACAGAAACGTCTGATACAGAAAAGGAAACTGAGAGCCAAGAAGGTAAAAAAGTAACATTACACAAAGAAGAATTTGTTTAACTGTGTTACTAGGATGGTAGGTGTTTCAATTAACCCTTAAACCCCTAAGAGTGACTAACATCTAATTTCTCTTTTCAATATCACCCCCAAATTACACAGAAAGGTCACAAGAAAAAAGGAATGATCACCAACTATAGTAGTTCTTTATTGTTAAACAAATTCTCCTTGTCAGCTCTTCAAGAAATGTGTTGAGAACAGATTGGAAAATATGTCTACTGATGTTAGGGTGTAAAGGGTGAAAGCCAGTTGAGGGCAGTAAACCACTGCCTTGATAAGGCCTCTCAATTGTCATCCCTCTTCCAGGCACAGCCGTTTATTACACCATGGAAAATTAATTGACATTCCTGGGATAGGAAATAATGGCTGTTTTGAACGTAGCAAAATCCCAATGGTGACCCATGGTGTACGTGTAATCTGAAAATACATGTCTTTGCTATATAGGCAAATCTCACATTATAATAACTTCAGTGATTTATTTTCATCACTTGATACCCAAGCACACTTCCTTTTTAGCTAGCCATGAACAATAATGATTGAGTTATGCTTTGGAAATTCACATAATTATCCTTTTCGCCGTTTTACGTCTCAGATAAAAAGGCATACAGTGTACATGTAGTTACATGTACATGACACTACTGTTATAAAATGAAGTTCCTCTTTGAGTGCTTACCTAATTTTCACCCTTCTTTTGATGCACTTGAACAGTGGAGGGTCAGGGGAAGGCAGAGGAACAAGATGAGAAACTTTTAAGTTTACCTTAAGATCTTCTTTGAATTTTGCATATCTTGATTTTCTAATCAGGTGAAACGACTGGGCCAATTTTTACCTCTCTTCAACACATTTTAAAGGTACGTTGCTTGTGTTTGATGCGATTTAGTCTAGCAGTTGGAATATCCTATCCACTGATATCCGTTTGGTCGCTAATGATGATGCACCTTCACGATGAATCAGTCAATCATTTAACTAGTAGTTACAGCTCTTAAGAGGAGGGGGATGGGGGACGGGAACCCAGGAGAACAGGGGGCGGGAGAGGGCGGGAAGCGGGAACAGAAATTAAGAAGGCATTCTTTTTTTTTTTGTTTGTTTATTATTGCTTATCATCTAGTCTAAAATCAGAACCCAGCAAAGTTAATTGATCACTAAATCAATCAATCAATCGATCGATCGATCGATCAATCAGTCATTCAACCAAAAGGAACAGCTCAAAGTCAATCAAATTTTAAGGGCCACAATTCGATTGCGTTGCAATTTTGTGCGAAATTGTCATCGCGAAAACTAACTGCGATGACTTGAAGTAATTCCAAAAACAGGTGAGCTACAGTCGTAACTGAGTTGTAATTCTATCAACTTGGTATGCAGGTGTTGGGAGGTCACAAGTTCCATTTGTTAGCTTTTCATGTGATTCAAGGCAATCAAGTCATTGTGCGCGGTGAGAAACGAAAGACTGTTGAATCAGTCTTAAATTGCTTGAAGGTGAGAGATACATGTAAAAAAGGCTACACCTTAGATTATTTCGTGTTAGATAGTGGAGTGTAAACATTATTTAATACGTCTATTCATCGATTTTTGTGGGAAGCGTGTTGGCGAAATTGAGATGGGTTGGGAGCAAAAGGCCCTGTCTTGGGTTAATCTAATAATGATGATGATAATAATAGTAATAATAATAATAATAATAATAGTAATGAGATTTAAAAGTGGGCACTTCACGGGGTAGCTCTTCTTGTCCACTGTTTCCAAGTTGAATTGGAATTTGAAATTTTGCCTTTTGAGGCGGGAGGAAAACTGGTGGACTCGGAGACAAACCCTCGGAGCAAGGACGAAAACTAACAATAACTCAACCTACATGTGGCACCAGGTCTAGGAATCGAACCCAGATCGTAGGGGTGGGAGGCGGGTGCTCTCACCATTGCGCCTTCCCCAATCCCCAAATTGGAAGAGTGCTTCAAAAATGAAGTCCCAGCTGCCTCAAAGTAACTCAATCACTCAGTAGCACTCTTTGCCGAATGCATACGCGTCTTCGATTTTTTTATTTATTTGTTAACCCCATTAATCATATCACACCACCCTTTTTCAGGTATTGATACCGAGTGGTTGTTGTTCATGTATTCCTTACAGTAAGAAATACAAGGTATAGTTGCGAATAAAAAATATGAAAACAGAAATAGATGAAAAGTACTACTCTCGATCAGTTATGCAGAATGGAGTTCAGTTTAAGTTAGGGCCCATTTCAGTCCCTGGATGTACATTTTTTCTATTTGCTCGTTTCCTTTTTTTCTAATCCATAATTACAATTATAATCATCACTATCATCATCCATGTAAATATGTTGAGAAGGAGGCGTCATTTAAGATGGGTCGTAAATTCTAGTTGGAAACAGCTTAAGAACACGTTCCCTTTCAGAACTCGTTTTTTTAAACGTGAAATCTATAGTAATAAATAGCTGTCAAAAGCTTGGCCTGGCTTGAAGGATGCCCTGCAAATTCTTTTGTGTTATGTATAATCATTGAATAGGACGGGAGATCTTTAGAGAAGATTTCATTAGCTCAACTGCTTTGAAGATGGACGTTGACTTTAATATCCTCCTAGAAGTTTTATATCCACGGCACTAGTCAGCAACTTTTTTTTTTCTCTTTTTATTCTGTCTGACTCGTTTAGGATTCATGGCGGTGTAATTTCCTGGGTCTTGCTCCAGGGGTAGAGATTCCTTCGCATGTGTTGTCATCAGATCTCTTTGTTTTGCTTGATATCATATCACCTCGAGAGCAGGTAAGAAAAAGTGTTGACGCAGTGATAATCCCACTTATTGCCTTTTCTTGATACTGAAACAAAACTGACTTGAATATGAAGCAATTATACTTATAATGTCAGAGGTCAGAAACCTGTTTGTACCACATTCGTCATCCTTCAGAGCTAGGTAGAATCACAGGTTAGTTCCTAGGGTTTGCCCTCTTTGAATAGTTACCACCTCTTCAAAATTTCCATCCCTTACCAAGGTCCAGGTCCCTGAAGCTTCTGGCTCAGAGCAGCAAAGGTCAGTGTATTTTTTTTTATTTCATGAGTTATAATCAAATAGGACAAGTTTTGATGGTCGTCGCGGTAAAAAGGTTTTGTTATCACCTTTCTCTTATATTGAAATAGAGATGAAGAACAAGACTTTCTTGGGTATGGCTTTGTTGTTTTTGGTAAAGAGAATGCGACAGGTAGGATTCAGTCTCTTTTCGTCTCAAAGGAGGTCTTCTAAAGTATTTCGCTGCTGTTCTTGTTGTTGCTTTTTTCTTTTTTCCCAGAGTATAGTAAGAAATGCGTTTTGACCCAATGAGGGATGTAATGTTTTACCTTCTGTTGAGGGTTATGATCAGAATCTAGATGACGTACCCCTGATGCTTGGTCATACTGACCGATCACAACCGACGTACGCCACTCGAGTCTTGAGCCAATCACATCACGGCTGAACTGACTGATCATTTTACACGAATCGGACTTAATGAATGACTCGAATGACAGTGGCACTTCACTTGACTTTGATGATGATATCCGCTCAGGTCGTAGAAACATTAGTCTCTACTACCAGCTACAGTCGTTCTCAGCACTAACCTCACCCGGAAGATCAGACTACACGATCATACTATATTCACTGCTACCTAAAACAGTCTTCATCGGGTCCATGCCAAGCCCCTAAAATGTAGATCCTTTTAAATCTCTGGCTGGTTCTTATTGGGTAGTCTGTGCTCTTTCAACTATATATGTAGATCCCACCGTTCTCCAGAAAGTAGAAGGCGCCCTGGCGAATGATTCTCTCTCGGATGCAGTTTTTGATCAGCTGTTGACTTGTCTGAAGGAAGAATGGATGGAGTAAGTTGCAATTTAACCCTTTAACCCCTAAGAGTTACCAGCATCTAATTTCTCCGTACAATATCACCCCTGAATCACACATTAATGTCATGAGAATAAAGGAAATGATCACCAATTAAAGAAACTCTTGAATGTTAAACAAACCCTCCATGTCAGCACCTTAGTAAATGTACAGTGAACAGCACGGAGAATATGAATACTGATGTTAGGGTGTAAAGGGTTAAAGCTTTCTGAATTTTTTCAAAAAGCATGCTATCCCCATCTTACTCCCAATTTCTCACTTTTTACATTTTTGTAGCAAAGTAAAAGTGATTTTCAAGTTTTCAAGGTCAGGTCCAAGCACCAAGGAGGATAAAGAGAAGTAAGTTTAAATCATCTGTATTTTCTTTAGCTAGATAACTTCGTTCTAAATCTTGTATCAGTTTGAGTCCTGCTATTTGTGGATAATTCTCGCTGATACACGCTGCTGATACACGCTGCTTTTACCCCATCAAATTTTTTATACAAAAAATTAGGGTGTGATATCAGCCGTGTCATGCATGATCATAGATCACTTTTTTTCCCACTGTTCAAACGTTTAATTCAAACTTTTATCTTGCAATCTTTTCCTTCCTCTCGAATTTTATCCATCCGTCGTACTCAATATTTCGCGCTATCATTTGATTTTCGGGATAACTTTTTCAACTGAGTTAATAATATAAATCGGCCACCGTATGTAAAGAGTTTCTAAAGCTGAGGTTTTGTCAGAGCGAGCGACGAAGGGCTAACGCTCTAAACATCAGCTTTGGAAACTCCTTACGGTGGCAAATCTATCTTATCAACCAATTTACAAAACCGAATTATCCCGTGATACCCTCCACCCGCACAGCTTTATAGTTTCTGTAGAAACTTACCCCTGATATTCAAGCTAGTTTGGTCAAGGAAATTAATAATTTTTAAAAAAGCAGAGAATCGGGAACCGCTCCCATTTCATTCCCAGTTTTCACGCAGCCATATTTCCTGATATCTTTTACGGATAGTGGCATCAGCCTCATATTTACACATTCTTCTTCAACCACGAGAAGTTTTTATTTTGAGGAACACATTCGCCTATGCTTTGTATGGTTGATCATTATCTGAAGCTTGATTTAATGGTACCTTGTTATACCCGTTACAGACTTCTGAAAATTCTTGGTGCAAAACCCGAAGACGAGATTGTTTTGAAGTTTTGGATGACAGGACTCAACAAACAGTACCGTTCCCATCTGCTGACCTGTAGCAGTACTGGCTCATCCTCTTAATCCTCGTTTACCAATCCAACTTGTTACGACTTTTCTTAGTTTTGTGTCGTGATTCCTGCGGCACTGCAAGGCTCGTACCGAGCTTGCAGGTGTCATACTTCCTTGCTGATTAGCTAAGGAAGTCTTGCTATTGTCCTATTTTTACATCACGATCAGAGGTACAAAGAGGAACCCTTGAGGAATATTGTGGCGTATTAATCATACCTGATGTACCAGCAATGCCGGGCTTACGAATGCAGATTTTGCAAAATCACTGCGGCACTCGCTCAAAGGCACAGTATGATACCAGATATCAGCCCTTTAAAGGCGCCTTTTGCAGCCGCTGACCATCCGTAAATGAGTTCAATAAGGAGCCCATTACTTATGGGCTCCTGGCTCAACCCAAAATTCCCAACTCATTGGGTACATGCACCTAACCCTATTCTGCAGTGCTTGGGCTTGTTTATTCCTTCGTTGATTTGACAATTGCTTTGCTACTTGTGGTTGAAGACGCGTTACAGGGTGAGAAATGAAGGAAAGTTGTGAAAATGTAAGCGTTTCTCTACAGAGAAATGCCTTTAATTCATTTGCTTAAAATTTAAATGAGGAGTTCAGCATCGTTTCCTCATATTGTTCCTTTAAGAAGTTGCTAAGGGGAAAGAGCTGGGGCAAAAACGGAGTGATCTTTTTTTGTATATGTTGTAAGATCTTTGAAGAAGCACAGCAGTGAAATTTGAAAAATATATACGCCTTCTCCCCCATGGAAGGAAATTCCTTTTAAGTATTGAACTGATGTTGCAGGGTTCTTATTGAGAACTCACAACCGGAAGCAACTTAACAGATTATTACATGTAATACAATTTGATTAGCGCTTCCCTCTTAGTTCGTACCTTGCCACTTGTTCCTGGGAATGCTAGTTCCTCAAACGTCATACATCACCACTTTTTACACTCCCCAATCTCACATAAAACTGCGTAAGGCACATTCTTTCAAATATTTTATTTCGAACTGAATGTTCAAAATCCCTGATTTCATTTACATTCATGAGATCAATTCAATCTGTGAAGTTTGCTTCTGTTTCTATCCTTTCATAAACTAAATAGACTCGCTTCAGCTGATGTTCTGAAATGGTGGGGTTCAAGAACTCTTCTTTTCCAAAGGCTCTTCTTAGCAAAACAGGGGGTTCTTGGTCAGTGCATTGGACTGGATCTGCTGATGGTAAATAATTTATCGTCAGACCAAACTATTAGTTTCAAAGACGATTTAGAAACCCCTTTACCGAAAATTTAAGCTGAGATAGTGTTGAGTCTGTGTGGTTTGTGAAGATTGTGTATCTTTGTCCGTAGTATTTACTCAGTATTCGCGCGACGTATCCATCACCCCCTCCTCCACTTTCCGCTAGACATTGTACTTAAGTGATAAACCAAATCAAACGAAACACTA